ACACACACACACACACACACACACAGACAGACACACACACACAACACACACACACAGACACACACACACACACACACACACACACACACACATCCCACCATCTTGGCTGTCGTCGTCTTCCCAAAGGCAAATTTTCCCACGCGACCAACGTCAAAATTGACTTTCAACCCACGCTGTATGGAACGGGCCCATGCAGAACGCTCACATCACTCCAGACACTTTTTCATATTGTGCAATCCTTGGGTGTGTTTTCATTGGGCGCAAGAAGCAACAAGCAAGAAGCGCTCGAGTGGCGTGGCACAACCAAAACACACACACGCAAACGAAGAAGGCAAGACCGCCAGCCAGCCAGAACACAGCAACCACGCTGCCAGCGCCATTTACCACTCCTGCTTGCTTCACACACGCGATTGATAGAGACCGCCACCAGCTCTCCCTTTGCCTCTCGCCTTTCCTTTCACCGCAACTATGGTGCGGGAGTGGGTGTCTTTGTGTGAGCGTGAGTGGGAGAAAGAGGCAACGCACGGATGATATCCGTCGTGTTCGAGTGCATGTGCGTGCATGACTGTGACCACGTGCCTGACTGCCCTCGCCTCACTGTCTCACATGCGTGTTGCTGCTCCAATACCGTGTGACATAGACCTCCTACACCGATAAGGGCGCCAAGCCTGACGTTGGCCGCTACCTCGGCTTTGACCACGCCACCTTCTGGGTCGGCAACGCTAAGCAAGGTATGCGCGTGCTTGTGTGTGGGTATGCTCCATGTGAGCTGTGCGGTGCACCTTCGGTCGCTCCTTTTGTACTCGCTTTCGCTCATCGTGCCATTCCCTTTGTCTTCCCTTTGGCTTCTCCTCCCTTGCTTCCCTTCCACAGCCGCATCCTTCTACACTGTGCGCATGGGCTTTGAGCCGCTCGCGTACCGTGGTTTGGAGACGGGCGACCGCGATGTCGTGTCCCACGCCGTCAAGCAGAACGATGTGAGTCAACACCACCAACCTATCCTGTGTCCATTTGCAATCTTCTGGCTTGCTTGCCTGCAGGCCGCCACGCAATCTAACCCCATACTTCACCCGCTGAGACCTTCCATTCGCCTCTCACGTTGTTGTTGTTGTTGTTGTTGTTGTTGTTGTTGTTGTTGTTGTTGTTGTTGTTGTTGTTGTTGGCACCACACCATGGGTTTGCTCCAATGACAGATTGTGTTTGTGTTCAAGTCCGCGCTGAACCCAGGCAACAACGGTGAGCGCTAATGTGGCGTGGTGTGGTTTGTTTTGCTTGCTTGCTACGTTGTTTTGCGCGGTGCTTGCGGGACAGCGCACATACATGCATACGTTCAGCAGTCACTCATGTCAACCGCAACCACCTACACGAACCAACTGCAGAGATGGGCGAGCACCTGACCAAGCACGGTGATGGCGTCAAGGACATTGCCTTCACCGTCGAGGACTGCCGTGGCATCTACAAGGTACCGCCGTTGTATGCGTTCACTCAAGCCTGACTGGCTTGCACCTTTCGGAAGTACAGCGACTCAATGTGTCTCCGAACAACGACACGGGGGGGGGTCCCTCTACGATGGGACCTCACTTATTCCCATTTCGCCGTCACTCACACACACACACACACACACACACACACACACACACACACACACACACACACACACACACACACACACACACACACACACACACACACACACACACACACCACATTGCAGCGTGCGATTGCGCGTGGCGCCAAGGGCGTGCGCGAGCCCTGGGAGGAGAAGGACGAGCACGGCACCGTTGTCTTCGCCCAGGTGCAGACGTACGGCGACACCACCCACACATTCGTCGAGCGCACCAACTACACCGCCACAGGTCTGTGTGTGTGTGTGTGTGTGTGTGTGTGTTCTCTCTCTCTCTCTGTCTCTCGTGTGTGTCTGATCACCAACTTGTGCAACTGCAACTGCCATATGCGCATGCGTCATCATGACTCATTGTTGCTTTGCGATGCATTCACTGCGAACGGAAACAGCCACGCACTTCCTGCCCGGCTTTGTCCCCCTCACCAAGAAGGACCCTCTCCTTGCCACCCTGCCTGTCCTCAACCTCCACGCCATCGACCACTGCGTATGTTGCCTACTTGAGTGGCTGCGTACGTGTGTGTGCATGTATGCGTGCGTGCACGTGCGCTGGCCTTGCCCTGTACATTATTTTTCATTCCATGCCACGCGCTGGACTCAAGCTGAGATCCACTAACCAACCACATTATCACAACAACAACAACAACAACAACAACAACAACAACAACAACAACAACAACAGGTCGGTAACCAGCCCGATAACGAGATGGAGGATGTTGCCACGTGGTACACTAACGTGCTCGCGTTCCACCGCTTCTGGTCTGTCGACGACACCCAGCTCCACACCGAGTACAGCGCACTCAGGTTTGTGACACCCCTTGTGTGTGTGTGTGTGTGTGTTTGTGTGCGCCGTTCCTGCTGTGACGGCTGCGCATACATGCCTCTGATGACGCTTACCTCCCCTGAACCTCCCCTGAACCGCTCCTCACCTTTGTATCTCCTTCGCGTGCTTGCTCGGCTGCTGCACAGGTCGATTGTGGTGACGGATTACGACGAGGTGATCAAGATGCCCATCAACGAGCCCGCTGCTGGCAAGCGCAAGTCCCAGATCCAGGTACGCCCGCCCACGCATACCGATGCTGTTGTTGATGGTGCTCATGTTGGTTTCTGGGTTTCGTTTGGTTTGATGTGGCTGGTGAGGTCGGCGAGTTGCATTGCGCTGGTGTTCAATACACACAGCCCTCCCACCAGCGACATGCCTCACCCTGATACACAACACCGCCTGTATGACCGTTCCTTGCTTCCTGTGTTGCTGCAGGAGTACGTTGACTACTACGGCGGTGCCGGTGTGCAGCACATTGCTCTCCGCACAGACGACGTCATCAAGGCCGTACGTTTTTGTGTTGCTGTATTGTTGTTGTGCTGCTGTGTGTGTTTCGCGTGTGCTGTGCTGTGATGTGTGGTGTGTGGTGTGCTGCCGTGGCTCACTTTCGCTTGCTCACCACCATACTCTTGCGTATGCTTGTGTGCTGCGTGTGTGATCAGGTTGAGGCTGGCCGTGCACGGGGTCTGGACTTCCTCACCCCGCCGGACACGTACTACGAGGACCTCATCGAGCGCCTCAAGGAGTCCAAGGTCGAGATCAAGGAGAACATGGACCTGGTACGTGCACACCACCAACAACAAGAAGTATCTTCTCGTGGTTTTTGCTTGTTTCCTCCCTTGCTTGCCCTACTGCCTTGTTTTCCTTGCCACCACCCGCCTTTGCTGTCTTGCTGGCACCCTTGCACGTCCGCCTGTCTGCGTGCATCTCACGCCATCTGTGCATGTGTTTGATTGTGTCTTGCTGGCGCAGATTCGCAAGAACTCCATCCTCGTCGACTTTGACGACAACGGCTACCTTCTCCAGATCTTCACCAAGGTGCTGCAATTTTTTTTCTTTTGTTGCTTGTGTACAACATGTGTCCACTCGCATGTTTCGCCTGCACCCATGTTGTGCCCACTGTCCTCCGCTATCCTCCTTCTGCCGCCTCCACAAATACACACACACACACACACACACACACACACACACACACACACACACCTCTTCTCAATCATCTCTTCGTGTCCCCCGCCCCTTCCCCTCCCCCCCCCCCCCAAACAGCCCTGCCAGGACCGCCCCACACTCTTCATCGAGTTTATCCAGCGCTGCAACCATAGCGTACGTTCGTCTTGTTGGTGTCTGCCTGTCTCTTGTTGCGTCTGTCTGCCTGTCCCGTTTCGTAGTTATGCACACGCGCTTGACGGCCTGCATGAAGGGGCTACAGCTGCTGTGGTGCTCATGTGTTTTCGCGGTTCCTTTGCTACTGCGTTTGATTGCACTGCAGGGCTTTGGTGCCGGCAACTTCAAGGCGCTCTTTGAGGCCATTGAGAAGGACCAGGCTGCCCGCGGCAACCTCTAAACCGCCTGCGCACATGCAACAACAGAATCGCCTCAACTTGCTTTTGCGTTTGCAGTTGTTTTGTTGTTTGTCGTAATGACACGATGCGTGATGATATGATGACGTGGCTGGTGTGTTGTGAGTTGTCGCTCGCCACTGGTTTCCTTCGTCCCAATTCGCCCGCACCTCTTGTCTTCGTATCACAACCTTCGTCTTACTTTCGCCGCAGCTGCTATGACGCACACCTTCCTCGACTACCACTACTAGATGCAGCTTCTTTGTTTGGCGTGCGTTGGTGGTGTAGCACGAACGAGCCGTGATTGCTTTCACTCGCTTGATTGGTCGTTTACTTTGCACCCTTGCACACGAACGTACACAAGCAAGCCTTTCGTTTTTTCGTTGCGTTCAACTTCCCCAAGTCAACCAACACCCAATACATATTGCTCGACCTACAATGCGCGCATCAAGAATCCATCTTGGAGGAGTTGGGGTATGACGTCATGTCATGTTACATCATCTCTTTGCGGTGGTGTTGCTGTCGTTGGTGGCGTTGGCGAGGTTGAGTGCATCGTGTATCGTGTCTTGGGATGCAGCCACCATTGTTGTTCCAAACACGCGCCCAAAGCACTCCTCCACCACGGGTATCACCTCCTCAACGGTCACTGGAGCGATCGGTGGGGAAGGGCAGGGGGTGGGGTGAGTGAAGGAAGTGGAATGAATAGACCATTTGAAACACACAGACGACGCTTAACAAACACACACACACACACACACACACACACACACACACACACACACACACACACACACACACACACACACACACACCTTCTCGCCCGAGCTGCTTGGAGATGGAGGTGACGCCCTTGTCTGCAATACCGCACGGCACAATCTGGTCAAACCAGGCCAGGTCTGTGTTGCAGTTGAGAGCAAACCCGTGCCATGATATCCGACGTGACACTTGAACCCCTGCAAAGACGCAGCCAGAGCGTGCAATGTGGTCAGGTCACTGTGATGAATGCAGCACACACACACACACACATACACGCACACACGCACACACACACACACGCACACGCACACACACACGCACGCACGCACGCACACACGCACGCACCAATGGCTGCAATCTTTGCGTCGCCAACCCAGACGCCAGTGTCTGGCGAGCGGCCAGCGTCAATGCCAAAGTGAGCGCATGTTTCGATCAGTGTCTCCTCAAGCTTGTGCACGTAGCAGCGGACCCCCTGAGATGAACCGAGTGAAGGCGGCACAGAAGTATGGGTGAGGAGTAGCAGCAACACAGGCGTATCAGGAAAAGTTGCATCACTGGTGGCGGGCAAGAACGCACGCGACAACGAGACACTAACGCCGTAGTTGGGGACTTTGACGATGGGATACCCAACGAGTTGGCCAGGGCCGTGGAACGTCATTTGTCCACCTCGCTTGCTCTGCACACCCGGTTAACGATCATCGCAACGTGACGTGTGTGTGTGTGTGTGTGTGTGTGTGTGTGTGTGTGTGTGTGTGTGTGTGTGTGTGTGTGTGTGTGTGTGTGTGTGTGTGATGCGTGTGTCTGTCTGTGTGTTTCTGTCTGTGTGCGGGTTGCATGTGCGTGTGCATTGCATGTGTGCGAGCGCGTCCAAAGAGTTGCTGGGAAGCGCAACATATCCTCAGATCCGATGGTTCGCGTGCAACACTTGTCTGACCTCATGGACGTGTGCACCGAGCTGCTGCAGGCGTGCTCGCTCTTCATCAGTAATGTTGTTGCGGCGGCCTTCAGTGTACGTTGGTGGGTGCTGACATAACACCAGCTGGTCCTGCGGCAATAACAAATGAATAGAACAGAGGTGAACAGAGAATGGTGTGTGGTGAATTTAGGGTGAGACAGTACATGACCCTGTATCCACTTGCACCACGCCTACCATGTCTTGATGCCCAAACATCAACACACACACACACACATCACAACATAATGTAACACACCAGCAGCATAGCAGGTCTGTGTTTGTTCACCTGCGTGTATGTGTCAACGAGGGCGCGCTGCATGCGTGTTGCGTTGAGCCAAGGGATGAGGCCTGGCAAGCGCAGCACGCGCACACTCGCTGCTGCTGCTGCTGCTGCTCCTCCACCTCCACCTCCACCAGCGGCACAAGCTACGCCAGCGCCAACACTGCCTGTGCAGACAGTAGTTGCAGCAGTTGCAGCGCGAAGCAGAGCAACACTCGTCTTCCTCATCGCCCACACACAAACAAGACAGCAGCGGCAAAAACTGATTTCAGTGTTGCGGGTGACAAGGGCAGATATGCAGGCAACAACAGCAGCAGCAGCTGGTGGCGGGAGTGGGAGAGGGCAAGCAGCAGAAGGGAGTGGTGGTGGACAAGAGGCAGCAGGGGAGCAACAAGGAGGGGTGGCAACAGGTGCTGGCAGCGATATCAGTGACACCAGCACTGACAGCAATGAGGCACAACAACAGCAACAACAACACAATGGAAATGAAGAAGACGACAATGAGTGGGAGGTTCGTTTGATTGATTGATTGTGTGCGTGTGTGTGCATGAGTTTGGGTGTGCGCGTGTGTGCATGTGTGTGTGTGTGATGGTCACATCACGTGTGGATCTTGCTTGACAATCGCATTCTGTCACACATGCCAGAGTCACATCACATTTCACACATGCACATGACTGCTCGCCTCCGCATCCCCGTCACCACTCGATGTACCATTTAGACGGAGTACGTTGTTGCCTCAGTGCACAATTCAAAGTATGCTGGCCTGAATCTTCGACCAGAGACCTTCAAAGTCGTGGTATGTTGCGCACACCTGCAGGTTTTCATCTGGTGCCACCTTCCTTCTCGTGCTTGCATGTGTTGTTCTTGTTGCGTGTGCTGCAACGTATTCGGTGTTGTTGGAAAGGTGCTCAACACACGACAACACGGGCACTGCCCTACAGCCAGTCTCGTTCATGTGTGAGAGTGTACACATTGCTGATTCCTTTCTCTGTGTGCTTGGTTCATGCACAATTCCCTTGTTGGTGGGATTTTGTGTTGACAGGGTGCGCACACAGCACAGCCCGTGTTTCGCATGGGATCAGACGTGTTTGTTGGACAGTACTCAGGTACAGGGAAACATGAAGTTGTGTGTGTAGCTGTGCGTGTAGCTGTGCGTGTAGCTGTGCGTGTAGCTGTGCGTGTGTGTGTGTGTGTGTGTGTAGCTGTGTGTGTAGCTGTGTGTGCGGTCTTCATGCGTCGTTCGTGTGCCCTTCTCACTGACATGTCTCTCCGCACCGCTACGTTCCCTCATCTTCTCACCCACCGGGCAGAGGCGTTTGGGACCAACCTCATCTTGCAAGCAACACAAGCAGGTTGACAGCGCATGAGTGTGTTTGTGTGTGCGCGTGTGTGTGCGCGCGCGAATGCAAGTGCACTGCACTCTTTGCAGTGCATGCTTGCCCCCGTTGCCTCTCCAGCCTCTCCCTCCCTCACACACACACATACAACACACATGCACACAACACAAACGCAGAGGCGACTGAGCGGACAGAGTGGAAGTATCTTGGGCGAGGCATCAAGACCATGACGCTACTGAGAGCAGAGCTGCACGAGGTGGAGCAAGAGGAAGAGCAAGAGGAAGAGCAAGAGGAAGGCAGCGATGAACCAGCGCAATCGGAATGATACAGCCGATAGGACACAGCAGCCTTCTTACTTTCCCTCCACCACCTTTATCATCTCCTTGCCTCTTCAGCAACAACCTGCCTTTGCTCATGTCATCTCAACATCATCTGTACACACACACACACATACACACACACTCGCTCTCTCTTTTGACTGTCTTCCCTTCCTTTTCTGAGTTATGCTGGCCCGCCGTTACACCTCGCACTTGGCGCCTTGCTTCGATGCTACCAAGCCCATTGCAACTTGTCGCTCGTACACACACACACACACACACACACACACACACACACACACACACACACACACACACACACACACACACACACACACACACACACACACAAACACACACACACACACACACACACACACACACACACACACACACACACACACACACACACGGAGGACACAGCTCTCTGACGTCACGGCGGGGCTTTGTGCGAGGTGGTGTGCGGTGACACCACCAGCGGAGGTTTGGTTGCAGTTACTGTTGCCGAAATACTGGTGAAAATATAAACAATAATTTGGAGGGAAATTCGAATTTCCACTAATGACCAGCAAGGAAAAACGAAAAGCCGAGCCAGCCGTCACGAGCAGACACCCACCGACCGCAACCCGGCGACCGACCGACTCGTGTCAGTGTGTGCATGCATCCACCAAGTCATCGAATCATAACGGTCCCAACGAGCAGCCCACCTCCCACTCAGGAACGAAATTTGAAAAGGGCAGCAAGCCATCTCACACGCTGCGACACTGCTCCGCTGCGATACGCCACGTTCGTTGATCAACACAATCCAGGACGACCCACAGCGAGCTCACCTGCAATTGTCTCACGTCAAGTGCTTGAGCCTGCTGTTGCTGCTGCTGCTGCTACCACTGCTGCTACTGCAATACTTCATCCAGCACCCAACAACAACAACAACAACAACAACAACAACAACAACAACAACAACAACAACAACAACAACAACAACAACAACAACAACAACAACAACAACAACAACAACAGCAGCAACAACAACAACAACAACCAGCCATGTCTGGAGGTACACAAACAACTTGTTCGCTTGTTCCCTTGCTTGAGTCTTTGATGATTGGCCTGGTTGTGCTGAGAGTGTAGCTTGAGGCACTCACATCTGTTGATATCCACGCGTGCTTGCTTCATGGACAGGGACAAGGAAGAAACACAGCACAACATGCGACGACTTCATTGTGCTTGAAAGCATTGGCACGGGAACATTTGGCATCTGCAGCAAAGTCATGCGCAAGAGTGATCGCAAGGTGCGTGCAACTGTGTCTGCGTGTGTGTGTGCGTGTGTCTGTGTGTGCCTGTGTGTGTCTGCGTGTGTGCAGCCACGAATCCTTCATGTTGAAGTGAATGAGACGCAGCCGTGAAGCCACCCCAATCTCATCCTCGAAGCGCCAACTGCTCGCCACCACCCACTACCGACAACCAACACCCAGATTTTGGTGTGGAAGGAGCTCAACTACGGCAAGATGACGGAGCGGGAGAAACAGATGCTGGTGTCCGAGGTCAACATCTTGCGGGAGCTCAGACACGAAAACATCGTACGCTACTACGACAGGTGAGGCAACCCAAAAACACACTTGTAGCGTTAGTGCAGACAACACGCAAAAGCACACATACACTTGGATGCACACTCACATTTACACACACGCACACATACACACACTCACATACCTTACATACACACTCACTCACAAACGACCATGTTCACACGCTTCGCATAACCTCACGCTGGCTCGTTGGTGTTGCGCTACTGCTTTTCCGGTGTGGTGAACAACATGCAGAATCATTGATCGGTCACGAACGACCATCTACATTGTGATGGAGTATTGTGAAGGCGGCGACCTCTCTGGTGTCATCCAGCAATGCAAGCGCACAGGGTACGCACGCGGTCTGTTGATGCGCACAAGCGTGGTGTCACACCCCAACACACACTTTTCCACTACATTGGACTCACGTGACCATACTTCCACCATCACGTTGCTGCTGTTGCTGTTGTTGCTTGTGCTGTACAGCACGACGCTTGAGGAGCCGTTCATTCGCCGCGTCTTCAAGCAAGTCCTCCTCGCACTGCAGGTACACCGTGTGTGCAGTTGTGTGTGTGCCTGTGTGCCTCTGCGTGCCTCTGCGTGCGTGCGTGCGTGTGTGTGTGTGTGTGTGTGTGTGTGTGTGTGTGTGTGTGTGTGTGTGTGTGTGTGTGTGTGTGTGTGTGTGTGTGTGTGTTGCATTCTTCCTTGCATGCGCGTGCGTTGAGTGTGACGACCACATTCTGAAACCATGTGTTGTTCTCTGCAACAGGAGTGTCATCTGAGATCGAGTGGAAAAGTGATGCATCGCGACCTCAAGCCAGCAAACATCTTCCTCGATCGAGACCGTGCGTGTACATACGGGCCATGCACTTTCATCTTGATGGCCCTCTTTTCTGCACACGTGACCCAAAGTGGATGAATTGCCAAACACGTACATACACACCCACACACCCACTCAGACACACGCACACACACACACACAATTGTACTGCAACACTCATACACATACACACGCAATCGCACCGCATTGCACGCTCTCACGCTCACATAATTGTCGCCAATACCATGGCATTGCAACGCTCATGGTTGTAGATAACGCCAAGCTGGGCGACTTTGGATTGGCCCGCGTGCTTGCAAGCAAGGCGGCGCTTGCACACACTTTCGTCGGCACACCATACTACATGTCGCCGGTAAGCTGTGTGTGTTGTGATGCGAAAAGAAATGTCTAAGTTTCGCCCCAGCACACAAGCAAGCACATGGTCGTGAACAGTTGCATTTCTTCTGTTGATGTGCACTAAGCTGTGCCCATTATTGTGTCGTGTGCAGGAGCAAATCACGGAGCGCGCGTACAACGAGAAGTCAGACATGTGGTCACTGGGTAAGTTTGCACAGCACAAGTTCATCTTTCACTTCCGGTGTGGATTTCACAACCCATGTCCACCGTCTCATGACGCATTTGCTCTTGCCTTGCTCAACATGCGCAGCAACAACAATGTGTCTCACGTCGTCCCTATGTCTGTGTGCGGTGAATACCTAGGTTGCATCGTGTATGAGCTTGCTGCGCTGCGACCGCCATTTGACGCAAGTTGCCAGGCGTCATTGGCGCGGCGCATCAGGAAAGGTCGCTTCTCGCCGCTCCCCTCAAGATACTCTGCACAGCTCAATGCCATCGTCACGTGCGTACATACGAACACACACGCACGCATGCACGCACACACAAACCACATACACGTAGTTGGTCGGGTGTGCTTGTTGTATGTTGCACGGTGTTGGTTGAAAAACTGTTCGACTCACGCCTCCTCTTCCTTGGCCCCCTCCCGCCCCTTTGCTGCTGTGTCTTCGTCTTCAACACGAACAGGTCGATGCTTCAGCAAGATCCGCGCAAGCGACCGTCTGCGGAGGAGTTGCTTGAGCACAGCTACTTTGCACAACCGCCTAGCCCGAGGGCAGGCTCCGATCTTACCCCTGTCCCGCTCTGTGCACACTGCTCCCGTCGCATTGGCCGCGCTGAGGTGCGACAATGCAGGAGTTGTGCATGTTTGTGCGTTGATTGTTGTGTATGTTGTCTATTGTGGCCGTTGTATGCGTGCGTGTGCGTTTGTCGGTGGGTGCGTGTGGTCATTCGTGTGCCGTGATATTTTCAAGGATGTGTTGCTTCAGCCGGTTTTGCTGAACCACTCACGTGTTATTTATCCATTTCCTTCAGATGTGGAGCGACGCTGGCTCCAGTGAGGAGAGCTCGTGCTCGAGTCACTCGAGCGCGCACGACAAGGCAGCAGACCTGAGGCAGTTGGAGGCGTCGCTGAAGGTGAGCGCAGCTAAGCGTGACAGCAGCTGAAGTGGTTTTGTTTTTGGCCTCATACTCCCACAGTGTCTGCTCTCAATCGGGCACGCATAGACACACGCACCCACGCAAGTCGTTGGCGTGATGTAGACGAGACACGCAGACGCACAGTGTGCATTCGACACCGTCTCATCCCAAGCTCCCGTGCTCACTGATTTGCCCGCATGTACAGGCGCGTGAGCAACGACTGTTGACGCGTGAACGGGCGTTGGAGCAGAGGGAACGCGACCTTCGTCTGCGAGAGAAATATGTGCAACAACGAGAGCAGCTGCTGGACATGGCGCGGGAACGAACGAATCCACGTACGTGCATGGGACACGGCACACTGCACCTTGCCTTGAACATACGTGTGTGTGCGTGTGTGTGTGTGCGTGTGTGCATGCTTGTGTGGGTGTGCACGTGTGTGTGTGTGTGTGTGTGTGTGTGTGTGTATGTGTGTGTGTGCGTGCTTGTGTGTGTGTGTGTGTGTACATATGTGCATATGTGCGTGCATGCGTGTGTATTGTCTTGTTCAATGCAGGGTGTCAAGAGCTCACATGCCACTGCTTGGTTGTTCTGGTGTGCAATATTTCACAGTGGCCACGCCAGGCTTTGATGCGAGGCTACAGAAGCGACTTGCCGGGATTGGTCTGCAGGAAATCACAAACATCTTTCCGTGACAGCACCAGCGCAACGAGATTGCCGCCAGACGCAAGTGATTTCACACCGCGTCGGGTGTTGTGGCACACACACACACACACACACACACACACACACACACACACACACACTCTCTCTCTCTCTCTCTCTCTCTCTCTCTCTCTCTCTCTCTCTCTCTCTCTCTCGGTCTCTATAAGTCTTTTTCTCTCTTCTCTCTGTTTAGTCGAACTTTCCTTGCCTTGCCTTGCCTTGCCTTGCCTTGCTTGCTTGCTTCTTTGCTATTCCTGTTATCTGCCCGCTTTGCTTGGGCCTTCCCTCCTTCTTGGGTTTTGTCTCTCGTGGCTGTTCCCCTTGTTGCCGGTAGCCATAATAGCCGTTCTTCTGCGTCCCGTTGTTGTTGTCGTCGGTGTTGCTGGCCATTGCCGTTGCACCATTCACTTGCTTGCCCTTTGTTGTCCGTGTCTTGTTTCTGTGCCGCCTTCGTTCCCCTTGTTCCACCCTGCCTTTCTCTCGTTTGTGGTGCTGCTGTATATTTCTGGTTGTTGTTGATGAGAGCTTCGCCACACGCACCGCATCAGTTTTGCATCTCGTATTGAACCCACGCCATGTACTGCTGTAAATCACTCGATGCATCATCGCACAAGCGGAGCGTGTGTGTACAACACGGACGGACTCACACACATTCACACACTCTCACACACACACACACATTCACACACACACACACACACACACACACACACACACACACACACACACACACACACACACACACACACACACACACGACGGCATGTTACACATGCTTCACAGCATGCAGAAGGTGTCAATGACAAGAACGTCGTCGATCTGAAGAGGAACGGCGTACACTTTTCCGTCGACAGCGAGGGCCGCGGCGCTCCACTGCAGCTCAGTTTCGCTACCGAGCATGCCCAGGGCCAGAGAGGCGGCATCCGTGGTGTTCGTGCTCGGGTCAATCAAGAGCACGCTCTGGGCTGCTCTTGGCATGCCGAGGATGTGGCCGTCGTCGAGCAGCACGCCCCCGGCCCACTTGTCACCACCGGCCATAAAGTTTGTGGCGACGCTGGTGGTGTCGAAGGTGTTCGTGCTTGGGTCGATCACGAGCACGTGCGGGCTGTCGTAGGGAATACCGTAGATGCGGCCATCTTGACCCGTCACTGCGCCAAGCCACTTCTTCATGCCACTGCCAACATTTGCGAGTGTGGTTGTGTCCGCTGTGTCTGTGGCAGGGTTGATGATGAGGACGGAGCTGGCAGACAAGGGGATACCGTAGATGAGGCCGTTGTGCGCCAGCACTGCAGCGTGCCACTGGTCGGTCTGCAGTGGTGTGCTGACACTGGCGATGGTCGTGACATCCGCCAGGTTCGTTTTCGTGTTGATGATGAGGACGCTTGTGCCGTGGCGGGGAACGGCGTAGATCTTGTCGTTGGGTGCAAGGACGGCGCCCGCCCACTGCGCATTCTGAGGGTCGACTGGCGGCACAGGCACCTCGATTGTGGACACATCCACGGTGTTGGTGGCCGGATCGATGATAAGGACAAACTGCGCTTTGGCAGGCGTACCGTAGATTTTGCCATTGCTTGCCAGTACCCCACTGGCCCAGTATAAACTTGAAGCCCAATTGATGTTCCGAATGAGGACGGTTCCGACCTGTCCGGTGCGAGGGTTGATCCAGGCCACCTCATCGCCAACGCTTGGAATGCCATAAAGAATGCCGTTTGGCGCTGCAACGACGTCGGAGTACGGAGCAGTGAAGGGACCACCAATGGTGGCGAGTGCATCCACGCCCGCACACATGCGAACCTTCAGTGTGTCGAGCACGCCTTGTTGGCTCTGGAGCTCACGCAAGACACCGAGCACATCTACATCGTTCACCAGCACGCGCTGGGACGGGTCGCTGGTGCGCAAATGCACGGTTCCATTCGCGTCCTGCGTCAGCGACGCGCGCCCAGACCCAGCAAGACTCCCCACCGCAAGCGTGAGAAGGGCAACAGCGGCAAGCGCAGCGAAGCACGGGATGCGGGCGTGCTGGGCGTGGGGAAGAAGCATGATCCTATGATCGTTCGTGGGTGGAGCCTTCGCGTGTGAAGAGGCAAGGAAGGAGTGGAAGAAGGAGCGCATGCGACGAGTGCGTGCAGGCAGTCGCTTTTATTTTGTGTTGTCGCAAACCGTTGTTTTGGTTGACGATGCTGCTGCGGTGTTGTGGAGAAGTGTGTTGTGTGCGAGCGGTCCTGCTGGCGGTTGTGGCGCTGGTGGCGCTGGCCACAACAGTGGTGCCATTATGCTCAGCAGGAGCTGTTGTGAGCACGGGCGGGTGCGATGGGATTGCTACAGTGTGGCCAAAGCCCACGCGTTGCAGGACACACAGCACAACCATCGTGAGTTTGTGCCGAGTGACTGTGGAATCTGGTGTGCTGCTGCGTATTGGATTGTGTTGGAAGAGTTCACACATGTTTGCGTACACAGATGTTTGTGTACATAGATGTTTGTACATAGATGTTTGTGTACAAAGATGTTTGTGTACATGGATGTTTGCGTACACTCACACGCGTTCGCTCACTCACGCACACACACACACACACACACATATCTCACTTGCGCACACTTGCTCACTCACCCCAACACACACACACACACACACATAAACACACACGCAGTCGGTGCACCCAGCGCTGCAAATCAATAGCAACTCATCCAATACTGTGCTACAGCAAGCCATCGACCGTTATTCAGATCTACTTCTCACAAAGGTCAGTGAAGATGCACACGAAGAGCGCAACGGC